TCGAAAATTTTAACATGATCCCAACATCTGATTAAAAAACAAAGTACACCGTTTTTATAGCCCATGGTCTCAGCTATAACATACCCCAATTTGGGAGAAAACAGAGCACACATAAGATAGATAGTGCTCATAGATGAATGCCATGCAGATTCATGATGTGAACGAAATTCACCTTCCATAGACATAACACGCAAATGACGAAAATTCTGACATGTGGCCTTTAATTGAATTTTGTACTATGATGACCTCATTAAAATGAAACTTAGTGAAAAGTGATCTTGTAGAGAATTGCCTTATCTACAACATATCGACATTTCAAAGAGAATCGATGAATATTGAGAGAAATACACTACATTTTCCATAAATACAATGACGTCATAATATGCAATTTTGTATTTTTGACTTCCAAGGCCATTATGATGCCGTCAAGATGTACTTAATGGCCAAATGAGATATGAAATCATACCTCCGACTCATACTCTATCTAAATATGAAAAAAAAATTGGCAATCCCTATTCATCCCAATGGACTTTTCATAGGCATGTTTTTGCCCATATATGCAATGTATTACAAAAATCGCGCGTACGGACGGTTATCTTGAACGGACGCTCATTCCGTTTTTAATAGTGATAAAGAGCTAAACATGGTATCAAATTTTCCGGAAAAATATGAGGAATATTCGGTCAAGAGCTTTTGCGGAGAAATTATTTTTCGTTCGGCCGTGACGAACGAAAACGTGCAAAAATGCGTGTTTTGCGTGATTTTTTATGAAATGCTTAAAATGGCCTGAAACGTATGCAAAAAAAATTTAAGACGATTTTGAGCAATTTAAAATTTTACGCGCGCATTGACGCGCGCGCCTACGCGTACGCGCATTTTTGCGCGCATTTATTGACCTCATATTGATCCGACGGATATTGATCTTAATCTTGATAAATATGAATGTAAAATTACTTTCCGTTATGAAGATATGATCATAAGTTGATTTTTACAAAATGGCGCCTGGATGACGTCACGATGACTTTGAGTCTTTGAAAAGTCACGCAGTTCTAAGTTAGACTAAGATCTATCATCAGTGAAAGATTCATAACAATGGCTTTATTGAGTCTTGAGATATCCTGCGAACAAATTCGAGGAAGAATAATAAATAAAAAAAAAAATAAATAAAAATCTTGACGAAATCAAAAGGTGATACGTTGACTTCGTTACGTATCACCTAATAACAATCTTGACGAAATCAAAAGGTGATACGTTGACTTCGTTACGTATCACCTAATGATCCCTTCAAAATTTGCAATTTCAACTTTCGATCGAAAATTTTAACATGATCCCAACATCTGATTAAAAAACAAAGTACACCGTTTTTATAGCCCATGGTCTCAGCTATAACATACCCCAATTTGGGAGAAAACAGAGCACACATAAGATAGATAGTGCTCATAGATGAATGCCATGCAGATTCATGATGTGAACGAAATTCACCTTCCATAGACATAACACGCAAATGACGAAAATTCTGACATGTGGCCTTTAATTGAATTTTGTACTATGATGACCTCATTAAAATGAAACTTAGTGAAAAGTGATCTTGTAGAGAATTGCCTTATCTACAACATATCGACATTTCAAAGAGAATCGATGAATATTGAGAGAAATACACTACATTTTCCATAAATACAATGACGTCATAATATGCAATTTTGTATTTTTGACTTCCAAGGCCATTATGATGCCGTCAAGATGTACTTAATGGCCAAATGAGATATGAAATCATACCTCCGACTCATACTCTATCTAAATATGAAAAAAAAATTGGCAATCCCTATTCATCCCAATGGACTTTTCATAGGCATGTTTTTGCCCATATATGCAATGTATTACAAAAATCGCGCGTACGGACGGTTATCTTGAACGGACGCTCATTCCGTTTTTAATAGTGATAAAGAGCTAAACATGGTATCAAATTTTCCGGAAAAATATGAGGAATATTCGGTCAAGAGCTTTTGCGGAGAAATTATTTTTCGTTCGGCCGTGACGAACGAAAACGTGCAAAAATGCGTGTTTTGCGTGATTTTTTATGAAATGCTTAAAATGGCCTGAAACGTATGCAAAAAAAATTTAAGACGATTTTGAGCAATTTAAAATTTTACGCGCGCATTGACGCGCGCGCCTACGCGTACGCGCATTTTTGCGCGCATTTATTGACCTCATATTGATCCGACGGATATTGATCTTAATCTTGATAAATATGAATGTAAAATTACTTTCCGTTATGAAGATATGATCATAAGTTGATTTTTACAAAATGGCGCCTGGATGACGTCACGATGACTTTGAGTCTTTGAAAAGTCACGCAGTTCTAAGTTAGACTAAGATCTATCATCAGTGAAAGATTCATAACAATGGCTTTATTGAGTCTTGAGATATCCTGCGAACAAATTCGAGGAAGAATAATAAATAAAAAAAAAAATAAATAAAAATCTTGACGAAATCAAAAGGTGATACGTTGACTTCGTTACGTATCACCTAACTAGACTTTAATTCGTCACTTTGACGAATTAGGTGATACGTATGCTAATGGTTTACATAATAAAGAATGCATTACACGATATCATAATATTTAATGAAATGCTTCATCCATTAAGATCTATCCATATGTCAAGTTTAAATTGTGTCCCCTTGATCATTATGGATCTAGGGAAGATAGATTGAAAAAATATGACCATTGACCCTGCGCAGTAACCAGTTACACCTTTGATTCTAATTTATATCATGAAGAACACATTTTGACGATTTTATCTTATTCAAAAAAACGAAAATGTAATTGATAAATGATTATCATCATTATGATAATGATGATCATGATAATCATGATGAAGATCATGATCATGAGCGGGATCCTGACATCTTATTGAAAAAATGAGGGGTGATTTAGATAGCACATAGTCATAGCTATAGCATACTCAAAAATCAACAAAATCCAAGCAGAAATAACGGCGATATTGCTCGCAAAAGACAGGAATGTAGAATCCAGATTTGAGAAAAAATTATCTCCCACAGGGATTACACACAAAAAGTAATGGATTAAGTGAAAATGGGGAAACACTAAAGTAAATAGGGTTGTTTATTACATTATTTTGCGATTTTACGTGTTTAAATAATCAAAGGAGATGGTACAGTGAAAGGTCAAAAGGAAAAAAAAAGTGGAGAAAAAATTGTTGGAGACACCCGGACTCGAACCCGGGATCTCAAGGTCGGAAGTCAAGTGCGTTACCGATATACCAAAACATTTCCCGTAGCGATTACACGTAAACGAAAATGGAATTCTAAAATCCCATTTTGCAAGTAAAATATGAGCATGATCCCGGCATATGATCGAAAAATGAAGTACACATTGGAGATAGCACATTGTCTCAGCTACAACATATCCGAAGCTCACGGAAAACAAAGTTAAAAAAACGGAGATGTTGCTCGCGAAAGACGGAAATGTAGAATGCAGTTTTGAGAAATAGTCATGTCCCATAGACAATACACGCAAAATGTGAAAAGTTGACATGCCTCCTTTAATTGCAAAAATACGCCATGATACCCTTGTCAAACAGGAAAATTGTGTACACTATATTTGTAGGAAATTATCTCAGCTACAACATATCAAAACTTTGAAGAAAAACAATCGATATTTACAGAGATACAATCAATTTTTCAAAAATATGCATCCGTCATAATATGCAAATTTAAATTTCGAGTTCGGAGGCCATTATGATGACATTATGAGTTAATTGAGAGTCAAATGAGACATGAAATCATATTTCCAACTCATAATCTATCCAAATATGAAAAAATATTAGGAGTTTCTATCTATTCTAAAGAGTTACAATGAATTTTATATAGGCATGTTTTTGCCCATGTATTATGGATAAAGATAACGCAAATCCGCGCGTGCTGTCAACTTTGACGGACGCTCATTGCGTTAATAAAAGGTGAACAAATTATCAAAATGCTTGGAAAAATGTACCGAATATGATGACAGAAAAAAATCGGCGATTCTATGTTGCAAAATGCCAGTACGCGCGAAAACGCGCGCGCATGCGCGTGTGCGTAATTTTTTTATCAAATGCTCCATATGGCCTGAAACGTATGCAAAAAAAATTTGGGATGATTTGGAGCATTTTAAATTTTTGCGCGCGCGTAAACGCGCGGACGAACGCGCACGCGCGCATTTGCGCACTTTTATTGACCTCAACTTGACCGGACGGATATTTATCTTAATCGTGATAATTATGAATGAGAAATACTTTTCCGTTATGAAGATATGATCATTAGTTGATTTTCACAAAATGGCGCCTGGATGACGTCACGATAATTTTGACTCTTTAAAAAGTCACGCAGTTCTAAGTTAGACTAAGATCTATCATCATTGAAAGTTTCATGACAATGGCTTTTGCCATTCTTGAGATATCCTGCGAACAAATTCGAGGAAGAATAATAAAAATAAATAATAAAGAAAAATCTTGACGAAATCAAAAGGTGATACGTTGACTTCGTTACGTATCACCTAAATATCCTTTTTCAGCAAAGGCCTCTAAAAACAAAAGAAAAGAAGACAAAAAAAATACTAGCGTGCCTTCTTGGTCGTCCGAAGAAAAAAACAAATGATAACGTTGTGGTAAAATGACATTTGCAGTACGGACAATAAATTGTCAACATTCAGTGAGGCGTTGCTAGGTTCCCGAGTGATAACCCTGCGGCTTGGGGCACTCATCTCCGTCTTCGCATTGAACACATATCATGTGACAAAATGTTTTGATTTGTGAAATCCTTAAGAATCGCGAACAAATATTTATTATCTTGTCTTTTTTAACAAGATTGTTCAGACAGCCCTCCCCTCTTTGGAAATGATTTAGCAACGTCCCTGCTATCAGTATCAGGGCATGCTCTCCACGGATTCACCTTGTTATTGATTGTACTTTCTCTTTACTGTCCTAAAAAAAGAACCTTACCTTGTGGTCTTTCACAGATGTACGGCAGTGGGTCCCCACAAGATCTACCGTCCCATTTGCCATGTCTGTTAGCGTCATTCCCATCAGACCACAAACACGCGCAGGTTCGCCCAGTAGAACTTGGCTCTCCAGGAGCCCAGATAGGGTTACTAAAATGTAATAGTCCATTACAGGTTATTCGGGTCATGTAATGAATAATCTTGAGCTTGTTGATAACAACATATAATTGTTTTTTTCTGTGTTTCCACGCTATAAGAGAAACAAATTTGTATTAACAATTCACAGGATGACGAAAACAATGTAAATAGTAAACAGTTGTAAAAAATGAATATGAAAAGAGCAATGTTGGCATAAATGGCGGCAAAATTCCATTATGCCACGCCATTAGCATACGCAGGAATTTTTCTAGGGGGGGGGGATTTAAATTTCGCAACGACTCAGCCAGCCGCTAAATAAGGTCAGCCATTGGCATAATTTTTTTAAAAATGATAATAATTAAAAAAAAAAAAAAAAAAGGGGGGGGGTTCTGTATTTTCTTATTTGCATTTGTATGGGTATCGCCAATATGTTATCCTGTTTCAAATGTGTTTCGATTTGATGTATACTTGTATATTTGTGTTTATTTCATCATGTGTGTTAGCAAGGACGGGTGTGCGTGTTTGTGTGTGTATGCGTGCATGTAATGTTTAGAGGGTGTAAGTGTGTTAGGCGGTGCGTGTGTGTGTGTAGACCGTTTTTGAACAGCAAAAGGTAAAGGCATAGAATATCACCTTATTTGAGTTTCATCAATCCAGGTGAATAGCTCAATATCCGCGCTTCGACTTAGACCGAACCAGTAACAAGAAGGTGACGAAAGGGCAGGCGATACAAACGATGTTAGGAACGTCTGTATAAAACAATTAAAAAATAATTTAACATAACACTGAGCAAATGATGGCTGCATTGAATACGACATACCATAAAGAGTCTTCTCCCGTCGTATAATGTTAAGATTTGGATCTCGTGAAAAATTTGTTGGAAGCTTATTGATCTCCTATCAGATTGTTAAAATATTTTCTTCAGTCTTCAAGGGAAAAAAAGGAGGACACAGCTTGGGGTTATCTTTCCAAATTGACTGATTTATTTTCCCATGCCGATAGGACCGTTCTCATTTTTGAACTCTCATTGTTCTGTTGTTTTGAAATTTAAAAAGGTGAAACTTGTTCTTCTTTTGAAATCACGATAAACGAAACATCATCTGTTTCTTGTAGTCCACACTGAATTTGAATTAAATTAAAATTTACATTTATTTCAGTCTCAAGATATTAACAACAATTGCGGTATACAGTACACAAATATAAAGATATCAACAACAAAAAAATCAGAGAATCGAAGGGGACGAAACTGTAAGTACTTATGTGAAAATGGGTACATTTATTCCATGTAGGCCTAAACATAGCAAAAGTTTGCGATATACTCATAATTTCCGTTTCGGTTTAAAAACATTTGGAGTGGACTATTAGGCTATTCTTATTCTTATTCTTCTTATTATAATGCAGGTGCCTCAAAATGAGCTTTTTGGGATGGCGTTTTTTCCCCTCGGTTATAAAGAACCGTTTACATTAATTAACGTTACTTTGACACTTTCATATCCGTTTTCTTGTGCATTACATTATTAATTTGACAGCATGTATGGCATACGGTAAACACAATACAATTGCTAATCATAACCCATGGAGGAGTCGTGGTCAAGTTGATAAATCTCCGGACTGTTAATCACAAGGTATACCGGGTAAAAATCTCTGCCACATTTTTTAGCAGACATAAAGCTTCATTTGCCACACTCGACCCAGCTGAGGGCGAGATCGGCGTGAACGTCCACTGATCATGCGTGTCTACGGAAAGCCGTTTAAACATTTATTCCTATATCTTGATATCAAGAATTCAATTCTTAATATCACGAATTACCATTGCTTTACAACAGAAAATCATATATATTGTTATCAAGAAATAGGAATAAATGTTAAAACGGCTTGCCATAGACACGCATGATAAGTGGACGTTTACGCCGTTCTTGTCCACTCAGTCTAAACGGCCCTAATGTGGGGCTCCATGATTGTCAACCCTGACGGATAAGAACCCACTGTTAGCAGTAATCGTATCAATAAATCAAAAGCTTTCTTTTCTCACATGCATGATATAATGCTATTCATTATACCGAGTCGCTATGAAAGTGAGAAATGTGACGACAATTGAGTGCATAAGTTTTGTTTAGTATGCTTAATCTGGAAATAGACGCTGTAGTTCATAGAATTACCAGGAAGGAAAGAAATGTGATCATACGTACATGTAATAGTTGCAATCATACTTACATTAAGTTCTGCTGATCCGATAATTGCCAATCTCCCACCATTATTCGAACACTCTGTCTTGGCTTCATCAAAAGTGTTCCTATCTCCCATGAAGCGATAAAATGAATGCCCGAACTGGTGCCAAGAACAACGTGAATCTGCGAAATGAAACGCTGATTATTTGTATTGATAAACTATTCTTCTTTTGACCAAAAGTGTTCTTTATTGGTAAGACATTAATCAACATTTGCCACCCTTTACCCAGGTACTTGTTAACGGTAAGAAAGCTGTGAGCATCGAATTCCGTATTCTAGGTTAAGCCGGGGTAATAATAAAGCGCCTTTACCACCATGCGTGGTCAAATTGACCACTGGTGAACCTTTCCCGTCTAATGAACCAGCAGCAGCATAAACACGTAGCGAAGATAGAACTAAAAAGTTGAATTGCAGGCTTGCTATACTTTCTTAATCATATTCTTCTCCCGACATCTCAAAAAACGAAGATTAAATTCTCCCTCGTCATTCCCCCAGTGGTGAAGTCAAGTGCCCGGCCGAACGGACAAAACCGACAAAATTGATCCCTTTTAAATAGTTGGGTATCCAGACCTTGGCCTCGTGGGAGGGGGGATGGAAACTATGTGTGATATATAGAGTATGTTTCGATGCCTTGGTTTGCGTTTCGGGGGGGGGGGGGTAGGAAGAGCCCATAATCTGGATTCATTTCCCCTATTGTGCTTGCTCATCATGACATTTAAAGGGCAAGTCCACTCCAAAAATAATTAACTTACAATAGAAGCAGAAAAATCAGACAAACCAATCAAAAAAGGTTTGAGCGAAATCAGATAACTATTAACAAAGTTATGAGTTTTTGAAAAAGAATATTAAATCAAGGAACAATGTAAATCACTACACAAATTGCCAATTTGGTTATCAGTTTGTGACGTCATGTCCTCAGTATTTATCAATTTTAAAAAAAATATTTTAATCCCATTAATTTCCCTTTTTTGTATTGACTTTTATATAAAAAACTTTATCCAAACTCACATTTTTCATGATTTAACTGAAAAAAACTATTCCATATTAGTACATCAACACGAAAACATATTTATTATCAATTTAACTTGGATGCTCGTGTGAAGATTAAAATTCTTAGGGGGAATAGAAAATTTATATAATCAATATAAAGAAAACAATAAGTGGATCGTGAGGCAATGACGTCACAGACTCATGAGTGAGTTGCCAATTTGTCTTGTGATTTTCAAAGTTGTTCATGTCATTAAATATTCATAACTTTCTCATTAGTAACTAGATTTTGCTCAAACTTTTTTTGATTGGCTCGTAGTGATCTTACTGCTTTTATTGAAAGTAGGGTATTTTGGGCTAATCGCTACTTGTTTTGTTAATGTTTTTTATAAGGTGATGCATTTTGTTTCCTTGTTGGACATCTGTCATTAGGCATATTGCTCTTTGCTTCTCCTTCACGTTGATTATTTTTTCAAGATTAATTTTTCTTCTCTGTTATAAAATTCTTTATAAGGACCATGCATATTATGTGGTACCAAGTGCGCCGGGGGGCTCCGGGCGGGCGATGGTTGGGGGGAGGGGTATGTCATTGAACAATACTTATGCCCCTCTGCACGTGGTCCGCGCGGGGGTACTCCGGCGCCTATATGCCTGATGTTTCAATTCACTTGTTAATTTTCTTGTACATCTTTTCTCGATTTTTGAATTATTCGTTTATTGAAATACTGCCTATGCAATTGAGTTTTGTCACCACGATTGATTGGCCTCATCAACCATAGCATTACATTATTTTTTCTGTATTAAATTCCAACCCGTGCATGATTCTCACAACATTTTTAATTGTAATACAATACTTAGTCCATTGTTTTCCTTGTTTAATTACAATATCTGAAAAGAACCAAGCCTCTAATTCTTGATAATTCTTATCACATGTAACGCAAGCTGTTTATCAATCCTTTCTTGTCATATAACTTCATTTGGAGACCTTGTTTTCTCCAACACATCATCTGCTTATTTTATATTTTAAGGATCATTCATCGTTATTTGATTATGGTTCTCATTCGCAATTATTATTGTCATAGGGCCTTATGGCTGATCGTTTGCTTTTCCTATATCATGATATGCCCCTGCATGTATCGATGCCTTTTAATGTTCGTAATGCCGACAGAGTTTCATTTTATGTTTTTGTTCTTATATATGAATTTCATGTGTCTGTTCTACTCTCCTTGTTTCAAGTGGTTATTCCATCTCTTCTAATCGTGTTTATTCTTTCAGCGACAGCAATCTTCTTTGTTCTGTACAGTTTATGCATATGTCTTGTTCATTTCTTCTTTCTCCTTACTGCCTTTGGATACTCTATTTTACTCTTCCTGATTCTGAATTCATGATGGCAGGTTCACCTGATAAGCAGCAATTCCCTTTCCATACGGTGAATGATGATGATTTCTTTTATTTACACAGACCTATTCGACTTGAGGATGAAGCTAACACCCCTGCTAATTCATTTGATAATTCAGTTATGGACAATATCAACTCTTCACTTGAAGAACTAGAATTCGACTTTGATTTTGATGATCCTGCTCAACGTAACGTTTCTAAATATGTAACTGTTAATCAGTTTCGTAATGTAGTGAAAGAATTTCGTAATGATACGTTCTCCTTGCTTCATTTGAATATTAGAAGTTTGAATAGGCACTTCGATGATCTACTTTTTCTTCTTGATAAGCCCTCTCAAAATCCATTATCCCTAATTGGTCTTACTGAAACCTGGTTAACTTGTGATTCCAATCACCCATACTCTATTGATAACTACGATTTTATTCATAAAAATAGGCAAGAAAGACTGGGTGGCGGCGTTGCTTTATATATCCTTAAAAGACTGAATTATACCGTTCTAGATAATCTATCAACATGCAATAATATTATAGAATCCCTTTTTATTGAAATCGTGATTCCCGGTAATAAGAACATAATAGTCGGCGTGATATATCGACCCCCGAGTTCGAATGCACACGAATTTTTATTGTATTTATCTGACACATTACAAAACGCCAGTTTCAACAATAAAGATTGTTTTTTGATGGGCGACTTTAATATAGACCTGTTAAAGCACTTACATAGCAATGTTTCTCAAGAATTTCTCGAAACAATTTTGTCTGCTTCTTTCTTACCACTTATTTCCAAGCCAACTCGTGTTGCAAATACATCTGCTACTTTAATTGATAATATTTTTTCTAATGTTACTCCACATTTTGATTCTTACATTATTCTTTCGGACATATCTGACCATTACCCCATTGTGACTCACTACACGGTTTCAAAGCCATTTAACAACAATGGTCCTTACCCAAGTAGACGTAAAATAACTGTAGAGAATTTAGCTCGCCTTGGCGCTAATCTCGAAAATACTGATTGGTATAGTGTTTATTCCGAAAATGAAATTAATTGTTCTTATGAAATGTTCTCTAGTATATTAAGCAACTAATTAGATACTAACATGCCGAAGCAAAAAGTCAAACATGGTTATAAGAAAACGCCCAAACTCCCTTGGATTTCTAAGTCTATATTGCGATCAATAAATCGGAAGAATAACCTTTATTATAAATATAAAATAAAAGGCACTGAGCAATCAAGGAGAAAATATACATCATATCAAAACATTTTGACTCGGATTATTCGATTAGAAAAGAGAAATTACTTTGTAAATCGTTTGAAACTTTTTAAAAATGATATGCAAAACACTTGGAAGGTAATCAAACAAGCAATGAACCAAGTTAATAATAAATCCGAGGTAAATAAGATCAAATTTGATAATGAGATTGTTGAAGACCCAAAAGACATAGTTAATATTTTTAATACTTATTTTTCTTTAATAGGTGATAATCTCGCTAAAAACATTCCGCCTTCAAACACAAATTTTGTGGAGTTTTTAGGCCCTCACAATCCAAATTCTATTTTCCTTGTTCCAACTAATAGGCAAGAAATTATGAAAATTGTTTCTAGTCTGAAAGATAAAAAAAAGCTCAGGGTATGATGGAATCAATAATGTCATACTAAAATCCATTATTCCCTTTATTGCAGATCCATTGGTTCACATCTTTAATATATCACTTTTACATGGTAAATTCCCTAATTCTATGAAAATAGCCAAAATTATTCCGTTATTTAAAAAGGGTGATAAATTGGATGTGGGTAACTACCGCCCGATTTCTTTATTATCTTCATTTTCTAAAGTTTTGGAAAGAATAATCTATATCCGGATGATGTCCTTTTTGAAAAAATATGATGTATTTTCAAACTTCCAATTTGGTTTCAGAGAAAAGCACAGCACCGTTCATGCTTTAATGTCTTTTGTTGAGAAGGTTGCCCACGCAATTGATACATCGTCACACACTGTAGGTATATTCCTGGACTTCTCCAAGGCCTTCGACACGATCAATCACGAAATTTTACTTTACAAACTATCTCACTATGGTGTACGTGGAAAGGCCTTGGAGTGGTTCAGGAGTTACCTCTCTAACAGAAAGCAATATGTACACTTAAACGATCATGCATCTGAATTATGCAATATTAGTTGTGGTGTCCCACAAGGTAGTCTGCTAGGCCCGCTTCTCTTTATTCTTTATATAAATGACTTTTGTAAATCGTCTCCCTGTCGTTTATTTTATTTGCAGATGATACTAATTTATTTTTTTCACACAAAAATCCAAACGTCCTTGTTGATAAAATCAATGCCGAGTTATTAAATATATTGCAATGGATACAAGCAAATAAATTGTCACTTAATCTCCAGAAAACAAACTACATGCTATTTAGTAACTCTTTGGATTCATTACCCTCTGACATTATTCTTGACAATACCCCTTTGAAACATGTCCCTTTTACCAAATTCTTGGGTTTAACAGTCGATGACAAACTTTCTTGGAAACCACACATTGATAATATTTGTAAAACCATTTCGCGCAATATTGGTGTTATTAATAGACTAAAATTGTACTTACCGCAATCATCATTATTTATGCTGTATTCTTCATTGATCTTGCCATATTTGAATTACGGTCTTCTAGTTTGGGGCAATACACATCATACATTGTGAGAAAGAGTTCTATTGCTGCAAAAGAGAGTTATTCGTATTATCTGTAATGCCCCCATACGCTCCCATACGGATCCTCTGTTTTTTGAAAATAACATCTTAAAAATTAAGGATTTGTACTTATTTCAGCTCGGTCAATTTATGTTTAATTACAATAAAGGTATACTGCCCTCTGTGTTTAATGATATGTTTCTTAAAAACCATGCTGTTCATAGATATCCCACTCGACAATCCGATGAGTTTCACTTACCTCTTTTGAGAACATGTTCTGCACAGAACACGTTCATTTTTGAAGGCCCTAAATTTTGGAATACTTTGCATAACGATTTGAAAACTTCCCCTTCACTAATTGCTTTTAAAAAAAGTTAAAATTTTCCTTATTACAATCTTATAATATTTAGAAAATTATTGTGATAGAACATCTCCTTCCCAATTTTGTTTTCTTTCCCTCTTTTCTTCAGCCCATCTTTAAACAAAAAACTACTTGCCATCATGTTCTTGCTCTTTTTGTTTCAGCTATCTCAAGGGTTTTGTGCGCTCCCTATGCTCGATCTCTACAACTTTCCTTTTCTCTCACTCTCCTTCCCTCCAAACGCAGCCCGCATTTTTGTTCCTTTTTTCCCCCTTTTTTTTCTTCTTATTTTTGTCTGTTCTTTCTTCGTCATGTAATTTGTTACGTCTTCTTGTTTACAGTCATTACATGTTTTAATAAATGTTCTCTGTTGGCCACTATTCTTCTTTAATTGATTATGTATTCAATATTTTGTTCACACTCATTATTATCTGAGGGGTCCACAATTTACAAGCTTTGCTTTTCAGTGGACCTCTCCATTTTCTCAAAATATAAATGCAATTAAGTTTTAAAATTCATTTTTTTTGTTGTCTTCCTAAAATGTATAAATTATTATTAAGATTTGTTTATTACCAATGTAACTATGTTTTGTATACATTTTACATTGTATTCGTTATTATGTATTGTATTTTGTTGGAAATGAAAAATTAAAAATGAAATGAAATGAAAAGATAGATTACCTTTTGGACGTTGGCAAATGTGAACCCGCTGATCGGTACAGCTGCTGTCCTCCCACTGTCCTTGATAACCAGATCTTAGCCGTATGCACCTCCCTTGCCTTGGTGTTAAACGGAAGTTTAAATACCTTATACAAAAGGGAAATAGGTAATATAGAGTAATGACCCTTACTATGTGCTTGGAAAATGTCATGAATTATTTCAAATCAGTACGTTAATCATTATTATTATTATTATAATTAGTATTAATATTATCATTAACATTATTATTAATAATTGTATGACATTTTAAACTATCATCACTATTTTAATAATTGTTATTAACATTATTTCACCACTTTTGTAATATTTTTATATTTCCATTATTATATTTATTACAATCGTATCAGATTGAATATTCCACGCAGCAACCGAACACGCTTCTGCCAATCATCCGTACCCTACTCACGTTCAACACAATTCTTAATAGAGAATATAAACTATATTTATCTCCTTAAACTTATTTACACCATAGATATCATAAATACAGATGTACGCAAGACCAGCAGAGAACGTAAAAGTGTTTAAAAAAAACTACACTACACGAAAAATGAAGGAAGAGAAGACAAACAAATTAAGTAGCGGCTAATAATTTTTGTATGAGGAATGAAGTTTGGGAAGAAGAATAATACTGAGTGGAGTTACGCCCCTTTTGTTTTGTGAACAGATAACATAAGTGAAGATGGTTTTATGTATACATGTACGTGTTTCTGTCTTGATTTCTCCTACTGCCTGTTATTGCTGGTGGAAAACACATTTGTGGACAAGAATAAATAAATTATAAAATTATGATTTTTTTGTTTTGTTTATTATCATTACATACCCACTTAAGAATCATGCCAAAGATGTATTCATAAAATATCCAAAGCATATTCGTAGATTTGATGTTTTCTTAGTTAAAGTCTGAGAGCAAAACATTTTGTTTGCATCCAATCACCATGTCACCATTATATATGTCTTGGGCAAGATTGACCTCATCCCTCGAGTAAGCATCGCTTTTCATGCTGTGACTACAAATAACGAATGTATTCGAAAGTAAGAAAAACATCACAAACCTAATAAATATGTTTTCGATATATTGATATTTATAATAGAATCGAATTACCCTGATAGGCTGTTGTTTATCCACGTGTATACACCGTCCCCGTCATCCAAGTCATTCAGGCCAATCCAGTAGTTATATCCTCCATTATCAGCTTTCCGTGTGAACGTATTCAGAAACGCCTTTCAGAATGGATATAAATGTAATCGATCAGAATGGTCAGGCAAATAAACGTATTTTGTTATACAAGGACATTGAGTACTACATAATCATAAACCACGCATACTGTTTGGCTGCGCTGAGGCGACGCCACTAATTAGTGGCCTCCATCACTGTGAAACTCCTGGGTTTATGATTGGGGTGTGTAGCTAATGACACGAATTATGAAAGAATACTTGTGATCAATGTTTGTATCTCGTGCATAAGTGATATGCATTGCACTAGCTCGGTACAATCTCAAGTAATCGGGATAATGACAAGTTTCGTTCATTATCCGAATGTTAATAAATCCTGCCTGTACTTGCAAACATTAACTGTTTGTTTGCAATTGTTAAATTTGTTATCATAAAACCACTGAAATTGTTGCTTCTTATGTTCGTCATTGATGTAGTTTCTTGTCAACTATTGTAATTAATAATATTTACATTTTTACCTTTGTTGTGGCTTTTATCATTAGCTTCATCATTAATACTTTCTTTCTTCCATTGTTAATTAGTACTAGATATTTCGTTATTTGATTACTTGATTATCAACTGTTGGAGCATTTTCGTTAGAATTTTTACGGTTAAAGGTAACAACATTCAACAGCGACGTAGTTAAGTTAAAAGGAAATATGTAGAAAAACAACCACTTACGTTTTGTTCGTTGGAAGTGATAACTGCTAGGTCTCCACCTAATGATCGACAATATGTCATTGCATCACTGTATGATCTACCATAGTTCACGATGAGATACTGGTTGTTACCAAACTCCAACCAATCAGGCGTGTTGCATATCTGAGCACTTCCTGCATCGACACAATGAAGCAGTAAAAGTATAAGAAAATACTTGTTATGGCTGTATATTGTATATGGAAATTAAAAGTATATACTTTGTATCACACGAAGAAAAAAAGATATCTTGATAATAAAAAAAAATCATTTTAGCCCACAAGATCGCAAGAGCCAGTAACCAACCAAATGTTGCTGGCAAATTTTTTTTTTGTCAATCTGTATTAAGTGTTGTTTATAAATATAAGAAAACAGGTGTTCAGGGACGAATCCAGAATTTCCGTAAAGGTTAGGAAAAAAACTAATTAGAGAAACAAAGTATAAATGGGTTATCACATTTTTGATGTGCATTTTGAAGAAAAGGTCCGTGAAAAAGGGGTTATCACTATTTCAGGTGCATTTTTGTAGAGGGGTGGACACACGGTCCCCAATCCCTTATACAGACAGGGCATGCAATTGCTACGAAAAAAACATTACCCAACCAATTCAACAGATTATGCTCAATTGTGAACCATAGACAAGAGGTTGTAAAAACTGTTGGTCCTTGCCTTTCTATTAGTATAGAATTTAAAAACGGACACACACACACACGCACACACGCACACACACACACACGCACGAGCGCACACACACACATACACACACACACACACACACATACTTCTGATAGGCCTATCGCTCATTCTATTCTTTGTATTTTTCATGTTACACCATTTGTAATTAACATTGTTAACGAAACGCTTTGTATTTTATAGATTGATGTCAGTTAAAACATTTTTTGGGGAATTCCTACCTTGTCCTGTAACTAAAAACAGAAGTGGTATGACTACCCATAGTGTTGTAGTAAGAGGTGACTTCAGAAAATGATCTTTCGAGTATAAAACCTTCATAGTTCCTGATACCAATCCTTGCACTGCCTTAAGATGACGATTCAGCTTGTTCTTCTACAAAATCCAGCAGGGTTGAATTAAATTCCATAGCTTGATGAAGTCAGTCGAAGAACAGTCTTGCACGTTGCGGCTCAAGTGAGCATATTCCCAGCTTAACAACTGTTTATGTATTCTTCGTATGTGAAATATGAGGTGTGCATTTAGCCACAATTTAGTATCGTGTATACTTCCTCAAACTTACAAGTACACTCTTGTAAAATACTTTGAAGTGTGGGACAATCTATGGCCGTTCATTCAAGGGGTCGAGTCTGCAGACACGGTTGCATTTCCCCTGAATATGAGATAATGGCTTTGCTGCATGCATTGTGCTATTTACGCAAGGTCATAATATTGTACAACATTGCCCCAAATGCTATGATGAGTAATTGCGGTATCATTTGAACTTTGAAGCAAACCAATTTCATGAAACAAGGACAATGCTTCACGCTCTAAAATTAACATCAGTAAAAAGTTGTGATCTGTTATATTCTTCCGAGCTGTAAAGAAAAGTAACGTGATTAGGGATTAAACATTTTAATGTGGTGTGGTACCTATTTTGAAACTGCGCCAAAAATACCCCCATGACTTGTAGCTCGTGCGAATGTTTTAGAGATGTTGATAATTTCGTTTACTTTTACATGACTGCTAAAGTGAGATTTAAAGGAAAAATTTAGTTCTGGTAAAGTTAAACAGATAATTGAATAACCTTTCCCATATGTATTAAAGGTTTAATGTTGGAGAATGTCATTATAGAAAAAAAGGATCCCCATCAAATTCAAATTGAACGAGAAACCCCTGATAACTTTTAACAGAACAAAGTGTCATGACATATCATTATTAATAATCCATATTGGCCTACCAAATTCAGTGTGCATTGCATGTGATATTTTGCATGAGTGAGCACGTCTTCGATATTTTGATGATTTATTAGACCCCAATCGTATGCAAGAATCCCTTTACCCTACTCACATAACTTCTTATCCCTAATCATTTGATAATTTATTCATATTAAAAAAAAAAATCATTTGGTTAATTTTTATTATATTTATAATAATTCTTATTTTCAATTCATTTTGTATATATATATTTTTTTTAAACGGGGGGGGGGGGTGGAAGGGGCTGAAATCTCAAGTATGTCTTTGAATAGCTAATGTGAGTGGATATCAGGAAGAAATTGATAAGCGACCACTTTCCGATAGTTATAATGCAAATAATAACTCACTCTGATAAACAAAATGTTTGTTCATTCTTATAAAAATATAGATATGAAAAATAAATTAAATCTCTGCACTATTGTCCGAACATGAAAGAATAAGTGAAATAAGAATATTCATTAAACAAAACTGAAATAACATTACAATGCAAGATATATTTATCAAATAAACAGGCAACCAGAACACCAACTTGAATCCCAACTGTATTATTATATGAAAGGTCGAAAAAACGAGATGTTTATATTAGGCCTATCAAATAACCCAATATTGCCAAAGTAGAGTTAATTTATCAAGGACACTTCTTGACACTTCATGACACTCATTGACATTTATGGACACATATTTTCATTTATTGACACTTATGGACACTTATTGACACTTGTGGATACTTATTGACACTTATTGACACTCGTGGACACTTATGGACACTTAATGACCAACACAAACAAAACATATACCTTTCTCAACACATTGTGTAAACCACAGATTTTAACCTTTTATGTATTTTAAGCATTTTGCTCCCCCAAAAATAAAAAAAATCGCAAAGATTCAGAGCCAGCCGCTGAATAAGCGGGGGGGGGGGGGGGGGGGGGGGGGGGGGGGGGGGTAAGAGGACATTTAATTATTTTTTTTTTGGTCTCGAAATTTGCAAATTTGACATTTTGCTCCGTAAGGGGGGAGGGGTAAGGTCACTTTTTTTAGGTCAGCCATTGGCATATTTTTTTTTTTTTTTTTTTTTTTTTTTTTAAGAATTAAAAACAAAAAACAAAAGGGGGGGGGGGTTGCTAAAAAAATACACACATAATACACACATAAACAAACTAAAGGGGGGGGTTTAACCCCCCCCCCCCCCCCGCGTACGCGTCTGCTTTCAGGTAGGTTTCCATACAAGTTTCCCTCATCGGCGCC